ATGAGCTGAGGCAACAGCATTTTTTAAATGATCTAAGAAAACCAATAGAACATGGCTCAGATATTTGGATTGGAGTAACCCGTGGCCAGGCCACACTGTGGTGAGGGGGGTGCCATAAAAGTCTAAAGATCTAGTTTCTGATATGGACCTCTTCTATTGTTTTAACAGTTCTCTGGAAAAGCAGCTAGCCTCCCTAAGATTTCATTTGCTAAGAAAATTGTGAGAAGCATTAAACCATACAATAGACTTTAACCAACTCTCTGAGGCGCATTCTTGAGTGTATTTGTAGTACTATGTATCAGGAACAGTTGAGTTACTGTCCACTCACTTCATGCTCTCCACACTGTTGGTCTGTCTCTGTTCTTTTTCTTTCTTCCCCTCCGTATTCTTTCTCTGTTTCTCCTCCATCTCTTTTCCTTCTTCCACTCCTCCATCTATTTTCTTCTTCTTCCCTCTATTACTTTCTTCTTGTCTTACAAATGAGGGTACTTCACCCCTTTACTAAGGTGGGCTAATCCCTTTGTTCGAATATCTTTTCAGAACACGCTCAAGTTATTTTAAAAATTGTTGTTTGTATGCTTTGCTTACTAAATTAGGATTTTGTTCAATTGGCTTTTGTATTCCTTGTTTTTCCTAGCATACTTCTTTGCCAATGGAAAGTGATAAGTAAATGGTACTGAATTACTAGATCATTTTGGCTCTTAGCATCTTCTTGATTTGTTTTTATTTAAATGCACCATAATTTTGTAAACCATTCTTTCTGAGCACATTAGCTACATAATGCCCACTTAGATATCTTCATTCAAGTAGCCCTCCAGATTTTCAGTTGTTCTTCCTCATCAGCAGAATCACACCGTGTGTTCCTGCTATGACCCTCTTATGCAGCCCTTACTCTCTCCTAACCTATTGCAATGTTTGAATTTCTAGACCCCAGTGTCTCTTCATGTGACACAACCTCCAAATTTGTCTTTCTAAAGCAGTTGTTTTCACTACTAATTTTCTTCCCAGAAGCACTCTTTGACTAGTTCAACTCAACCTTTTCCTATGACATCAAAATTGCTCAGTATTTTTTGGACCAGTCTTTCCTAAGTTTTATCCTACTGGGCATTTGTAAATAGGAGTATCAGATGTTCTTTTTTACAATTCTGTTCCACAATTTTATTCCTCTTTTTTCCTCATCTCTTGTATTATTTATCCAAAATGTGTCTATAGATCTTGACTCTGTCTTCTGAGACTTCATGCATGTGTCTTCTCTATTTGACAAACAGAAGTCATCGCTCCCTCTTGGATTCAGAAATACCATTATGTTCCATTCATGTCTCACTTACATCATATGCACAGTTTTTTTGTTCTTGTTTTATCATCCTCAATAAATAAATGGTTAGATCCTTAGGTCAAATACTATGTTTTATTCATTTCACCACCTTCCAGCGAATGTAGAATCCTTTCATTATAGTACATGTTTGTTTCATAATAGATGAATAACTTGATGTAGACATTTTTATGTAACCATTTGCTGCTGTAAGTTCTCTCCATTTCTGTCTTTCTCCCAAAGTTCCTGATAAAAACTTTACTATATAACTTTCTTCAGTTTCCCATTTTGCCCAAGTGGGCAAGAGAAGGAGCTTTAATATAAAATTATGTATATGGAATACCCAATTAAAAAAATAGAACTGGAAAGTTAAAAAAAAAAAAAAAAAGAATGAGGGAGGAACATTTGGCACATTCCCCAAATCTGACAGAGGAATATGGTTTCCATGTTTTACCAGCGTGATTTTGCTATGTCACTGTTATAAATTTGGCGTGCTGTTTGCAGTATTCTCTCATGTGCCTCATTCATCTGGAAGACTGCTTCTTCAAATCGTTTAACACTTGAGATAGTCCTTATACCCAGGGTTTACATAACTAGTGGTTTCCACTCTCTGCCTGCTCTCAGTTGTCCAGATAATTCAAGTAATTATTCTCACATAGAAATTAATTTTTTTAATTTATGTAATCATACCTCAATAATGTAATGTAGTTATTGATAACGTATTATGATGAGGAATTTAAGCACTTTATTGCTGAATTCACTGGCAAAATTTTCTTTGGATGGGTTTCAGTGCAGAAGAACTACCTTGTCAGTGTTGATGGTAAGCATCCATACGCATGCAATAATCAGCCAGGCTAAACCAATAGAATTCAGAGGACCTGCATGGAAGAGTGCCAGTCACATGGGCGCATATGCATACATATAGATCATTTACATACATAAATGTACATAAATGTGTGTATGTATGTTTACATAGTTGAGAAACTCTTACTGCATACAATCTGAAAACCTTTAGAAGGCATATCTCTGTTAAAGAAGACATAGTTGCATAGTAACTCTTAGTCCTCCAACTGTGCATACTTATCTTTGTATGTATGTTTATGAATGTTTTCAAGTAGAATTAGATGGCAAAGCATGTTAGCATATGTTCATAATACCAGCATTAAAGGTAATAACAGGAAGATCATGAGTTTGAAGTCAGCCTGGGCTATGTAACAAGAAAAAAACTATAGAATTATATTTAAATTTCTATTTAATCAAGACTAGGGCACTTGATAGCACTTATTCAGTTCTTTGAAAAGAAATTGGAGGCAACATATTGACCTTATTGAAAGTTTCTTTGTGTCTTTGAAAACTATTTTTAAAAACTGTCTTATCAAAAATTCAGTAAAAATACTATTTTATATGTGTTAATAAAGTATTGGTCACTGAAATTTTGGTAGTAACACACATGTATAAAATTTATAACTTACTTTTTCTCCATTTTAATTAAGTATCACATGTATTTCACTGTTGATGCAGCAACATTTAAATTCAGGCTAACACAATTATTGATGACTCTATGCGCTTTCTAAAAAAAAGTAATAAATACATCTTTTATTGACTCTGAGCTGTGTGATTGTTGAACATGCAGAGGGATACTATTTTCTCTCATTTTCTATGAAATTGAATTAGATTGTGGAATAACCACAAGCTGAATAGTGAGACAAAATGAAAAGAGAGGTAAGGGGCTGGAGAGATGGCTCAATAGTTAAGAACACTGTCTGCTCTTGCTGAGGACCTGGTTCAGTTCCCTGCACCTACATGGTGGCTAACAGCTGTCTGTAACTGCAGATCCAAAGGGATCTGATGACCTCTTCAGCACTGCAAGACTCGGGTACACTTACGTACATGCAGGCAGAACATTCGTACACATAAAATGATAAATAAAATATTAAAAAATGAAAAAGCAGCTGAAAGAGGATGATGACTCAAAGGTAGAAGAATGCATAGAAAGAGAAAATGTCAGATTCAAAGGGAGGTGATCCATGAAAACACATATATAAATGCTACATCTAAGCATCACTAAATAGAGACTTTATCAGTGTTGTTTGCTGTCACTGCTATAAAGGAATTGCTTACATACTATAGATATTTTCTTCCACATCTGAATACAAATATATACCTTTTAGACTAAAGTGTGGTTCAACTTGACTGGGGCACTAAAGACAGTCTTGTTGCTACCCAGCGGTGGTAACATTACAGTTTAACATTTGGATTTATTGTAGCTGCACTATGTTGTCACATGTTCCACAGTGGAGACAAAGACTGGTCCAAACTGAAAGTATCATCACTTCACTGGAGCCTAGTAGGGAAAGTATGAGCCTAGGGTTCAATATGCAAAGTGATGTAGCGCAATGATTAGTAAGCCACATCTTTCTATTTATATGTTTGAGGTAGCAAAAAAGCCAAAGTCGTTAAACAGGAAAGCTGAGTTTGCATGTATATGTAAGGAATTTTCAGTTTTGAGGTTTTAAATTGATGACTGCTCAAGGTTGTTTCCCATTCCACATTATATCTGGTGAACTGAATTCCTAATTCGGCCTTACTTCTGTATTGCCCACTAGTTATTTGTTTCAAAATTGAGATTTTAATCTTAAATTTAAAAACTGTATAAAAACATCTACATTGAATAATTTGTGTTCACATTTCTATTATCCCCACCGATTTTCTTAAATAGAAATGGAATGGCATTGACCATCCTTAGTGAGTTAAGGGAGATACTAGTAAGATCTTGACCTCGGCTTCAACTTTTTTGCTTTTGTCTACTCTGGGTCTTAACATTTTGCTGTTGTGTTGGTTTCTGAACTGTGTATGATTTGCCATGGTCCTGACTTTCACAGAGTAATTATTTTGATTAAGTTAGACGATTAAAGTAAGTCTTGCATGAGGAAAGAATACTGTGGGGAGTCAGTGATGGATGGACTCCAGTCTTTGGAGTGTTCAGTTCTGCCAGTATTTTCCAGTTGAGTGAATCATCACTTCCTAGTTTGGTTTTTGTGACAGCGAATGGGTTGTTAGACCTGAGTGTTTTCGAGGAAAAGAAGTCACAAAGAGATCAAGACGGAGAGAATACAGTGTTAATATCCACATGTGTTCTTGTAATTTTTCTGATTTTTTTATTTGTTTTGATGAACAACATCATCACTGAAATAATTAGTGCTAATTAATATCTGTGTCATTTTTGGTAAATGGTAGTTTAGTGTTACAATTAGACTAATTAGTGTACACCATAGCTTAGTGACATGACAAATCATAGAGCAGAACACGTTGACTCTTACCCGGTGTGATATATGAGCTAATCCCCTCGCTCAATAATGACAAACGTAGAGAAACAGGGAACTGGACAGCGACAACAGAGACAACTGTAAGGCATTGTTTCCACATAACCAGTGTTTTGTGTTGCTGCCAAGTTCCTGAACACTATGGATTACTGTCATTTTATGTTTTGCTTCCTTTCTTATTGGTAAAAATGTCTCTGATTGCAATTTTCCAGAATAAAATCATGAATGAATAAAAAACCTAAAACTCAAAGATGCTATCCATGTTCCCTGGATTTGTGTATGCTGTATCATGTTCAGTCTTTCACTCTTTCAGAACAATTCACAGTCTAATTGACAGCTGCCTGCATCTTTCATTTGTTTTCCAGAACCCATGCGGACCCCAAAGACTTTAAAGATTGCTGAAATACAGGCAAGACGCATCGCTGTGGACTGGGAGTCCCTGGGCTACAACATTACTCGCTGCCACACTTTTAATGTCACTATCTGCTACCATTACTTCCGTGGCCACAATGAGAGCAAGGCAGACTGCTTGGACATGGACCCCAAAGCCCCTCAGCATGTTGTGAACCATCTACCACCTTATACGAATGTCAGTCTCAAGATGATCCTGACCAACCCAGAGGGAAGGAAGGAGAGTGAAGAGACCATCATTCAGACTGATGAAGATGGTATGCTCCTGTTTCATTGTCTTCCAGAGGGGTGATTTTATAACAGGAACAGTGTGCTTTCTTTAAATTCATTACCCAATACTGAACTGGTATATGAAATCTGATAAATTCTCTCCATGCCCGTTAACTTTGAAAAGAGTTTTCCTTTAACAGAGCTTGTGTTCCTCAGGAAGAATCTAAACATTAAATGGCATGTGCCTATCCAGGCTTCTCTTTTTAACAATGATAATAAAAGCGTCAATGGCATAAAAAGCTTAAAGATTTTTTTTTTTTTTTTACAAAATGTGAAAAAATTTCATTATCCATAGCATTATTGGTAAAATTCACTTTATGACAAACATTGTGTAGCAGCACCTTACAAACAACACTGGCTGCCATTGTTTTCCTAATATTCGAAAAAAAATTTTACCCACTCCATTTAATTCTAGATGGGTTTATTTGAGTTTAAATATAAAAGAAGACAGCAGGTTGTATTAGTCAGTCTAAATAAAAGCTCTAAAGAAAATAATAGATCTTATATAGATCTCATTACAATCCAAAATACTGAACTTTGTCCGATTTCTATGCTATTCATGGATAATTAAGTCATAAAAACACATATTTATAATAATATAATATGGGGGCTGGAGAGATCGCTCAGAGGTTAAGAGCACTGACTGCTCTTGCAGAGGACTCAGGTTCGATTGCTAGCACCCAAATGACTGCCAACAACCATCTGTAAATCCAGTTCCAGGGGAATCGGACACCCTTTTCTGACCTCTATGGGCACTGCATGACACAGGTGCACTTACATACACGCAGGCAAGAGAATTATAATATGTGCACCTTTGTCCTAACAACATAGTACATTAACATGAATGTCAATTCATTTCCTTATTAAACAAAAATGTGTACAAAAAGGTCAAAACTCTTACTGTTCTACTACTAATAATGTGTCTTTAGTATGACATTTATTTTGTACATTTTCTTTTGTAAATGAATGTATGTAGGAAGAAGAAGCCCTGCTATAAAATGATCTGAGGCACAGTTTAACTGGGAATCCAGATTTACAAATCTTTCCACATTTCTGGTTCTGTGTAAGTGACAGAGCAGAGTGAGGCCTGTCCACTCTAAATGTCTTCTTGAATAGCTTAATGGAAGGCCTGCATTTTTATTTGGGTTTCAAAATAAAGGGTGTATTTTACTACCAGGCCCTCAAAGCCTCTCCTGTGTCTTTATCTGTATCTTTTGGTGCCTACCAAGTATAAGGTAACCACAAAATAACTCAGTGTGCCATGGTTTCTAGAAATACTTCATATTTCACATTTTCTACTCTGAAAAGTAGAAGTGACTCTAGTTTGTCCTGATGCTTTGTTATAGAAAACTGAGAGCCTTTCCACAGGATTTAGCTCGTACTGAAGCAAAGAGTCCATGTAGTCCTAAAGCCATTCTCATATTACTAACATTTCAGAGAGAAAAAAAAAAAAACTTGAGACTTATTCATGATGAATCCATATTTGACACGTTTGAGTTAATCAAAAGTGCCTATCTCAGTTACTCTGTTGGTTGAACTTCTTGAAACCAGTGACAACAAGTCAAAACAAAAACAAAAACAAAAATTTGTTTAAATAACAAATCAGACCTACTTTATAAACATAAAAACTCTCAGTCTAATCTTCCCTGACACTCCCCCACCTCCCCCTCTGTGTGTGTGTGTGTGTGTGTGTGTGTGTGTGTGTGTGTAAAAAAAATGTGTGTATCCATAAAGGAATGGGAAAGAGTAATGGGTTCATAGGTTAATAACAGAAATGGGAAGTCTCAGTGCAGATGTTCTGGAAAGTTTCTCTTCTTGTAAAGCAGGATAGAGGTTGCAATGTCTGTTTCACACTAGAGGTTTGTAATCCATGTTTTTAGGAATAAAGTAGTCAAATACTTTGTTGGCTTGCTTAAACTGCAAAACCATGATAAAATTCAGCCATGTGAGTGCCTTTCTTTCTTTAGCCAGTCACTTTAACAATGCAATTTCTCCTCATGGGATCCTTTGATTTAGTTTGTTAGTTTGCCTTTCCCACAAACAAAAGAATGCAAATCAGGCATTTATAGTGTTTCTTGAATTGCATTAAATTTTTAAACTACATTTTTTGTTACAAAGATGACTATGTTAATAATCAGGTAATAAATTACTGTGAAATTTTACTCTAAACAGATCAAGCACATCATAACTGTGATGTTTAGATTGCCTGGAGTCAGTTTCATGTATATGCAGTGGTATTTCTAGATTCTAATTTCACTATTATTCTCAGGTCTTATTTTATTTTTAACTTTTGCTTTGAACAATATGTTACAGGGTTCAGTGATACAACGTTGCGCATTATTATTTCATAGTATGACAACAAAGTAATCCCCTCTGAGTGGTAGAGTGTTTTCTTTTTCTGGTTTTTCTTCTGTTGTATGTAATATTTAATGACTGATGTAGAATGTTTTATGAAGTATTTATGAGTAACTCATTCTTCAGGTCTGCCCATGTGAGCCAGAGTTTCTACACAGAATACTTGATGTATCTTAATGTTCCAAGGTGGAGAAGAATAACTAAATCATTGTTGTGAAGATCAATGGATTATGATGATCTGATTAAGTCCATCTTACTAAATTATTGCTGCCCTATATACATAGGAAAAGAATAAATTATCAACCATCTAATAAAGGGATATAATTATATGAAAAGAATTCTGGGGACAGCCATAAATCAAACTCCTAAAGCTAGAACCATTTCCAATCAGAACCTTAGGATAGAATTTATATTTAATTTATTGCACACCGTTTTTAATGCATGGGTAGAATTTTTTTGTATAAGGTTTTGTTTTCATTTTTTATTCCCACATTCACGAAAATCAATATTATGAGGTTAGCTCAGCAGAAAAGCTTGTTTGGGGACATTATTTCTAAGACTACAAAGCTATTTTTAAATGTACATTGATTACATTTTAAAGGCTACACTGCTTGTTCAATATAATCTTTCTCCACCCCTATTTTATTTTTCCTTTTCTTTTCCATCTTGGAAGTTATATTTGAACGACTTCCTTATACAAAAAAAAATAAAATAGCTGAAGCAGCTCTCATATAAATCACAGACACAGGAAGAAAAGTCAGCATTCTCTCTCCATTAAAAGTTGTTGGTGTGGAATGTGAAGTGACATTTCTGCAATCTGTAGCCAGACATGAAACGGCTTTAGCAACTTCATTCTGTATTTATAAAATTATAACTAGAGACATGTCCTATGTGTGCACAGTTATCATCCTCCTTAAAATGCAGAAAACAGGCGAATATTAATGGTCTGCACCCACACTCATCCCACCTTCGTTTGTGTGTTTGTTGTAGGCCAATGAAATAGTCCTTTCTCCCACTCACTACACTAGTCCAAGTGAAGATTGCCACGTTTTGTTCATAATTTTCTCAAATGCTTTCCTTCTTGTACGTGGGACCTGTAGGTATTCAAAGGAGAATCTATTAGCACAGTAGAACTTATATGCGAGAAAGGGTAAAAATATCTAAGTTTTAGGAAAGTGACTGTCCACTTCTTCCTGTCTTTCAATGCAGAATTATACAAACATTTAAAACCTCCCCTAGTTGTGAATAATTTGAAGTATATTCATTCCATCTCATATTGTTCATAGACCAAAATATGTTAGGTGAACATAGGTTGTTTTAATGACAAGTCCTCATTATATGGGGTTTCGCCTCTTCCTACCTATATTTGCCACTTTCCTTGAAGAATGTGTAAAGAAAAAAGTGTATTTTCCTTGGCTGCAATCCTAAACTGTCATTTCAGTGGAACGGAAACAACAACATTGGACAAAAAACCAATGTCCCTGGCAGCCTGTGCATAGCCAGAAATTGTGCACAGTGGCTGTCAGGACCTCTGCCCTGATGCGTTGAATGGCCCATGCTGATGGCACAGAGCCGGGGTGAGAGATGCGCACCTGACAGGGGCATGGACATACCTTCCAAAGTTAGGGCTGGCATGCTTTTGGTTTATATGGTTTCTTTCCTTTATGAATTTATTATTTATGTGCCACCACATGTCGCCTTTCTCAGAGGTCATAATATCATTCATAGTCTCCTTGTAGAATGGAAATAAATCTTATTCTGGTGACATATCATTCAGAATTTCTTGATGCTGCTAGCCATGAAACAAAGCATTTCCTTTGATCCAGTGATTTTTAATTTATTTCAATCCTCATGAAATTGCTCTATACTTCGAAACGGCATTTCTGGATAATGTCATGTGTGAAGTTCACTGAAACGTTAGATTAAGGGAAAATATTAATTAAAAAAACATACTTGCCCAATACTGGGTTGATATTTTCAAAAAGAATTTTCAGAGTCAAGCGTGTTAGATGTATCATAAAACATCATACACCAGTATGTTAGATGTATTTGTAAAACACAGAAGTAGAATCTAGAATCCTTTATGAATAAATAGCCAGGTTTAAAATATAAATTCATAGTAGCTGAAGTATTTTGTATTTTAGCAACAATAAGCAACACATAATTAAATACTCTGGGTTTGCTAATTATTAAGCTTTCACAACTAAGAACTGGAACTAGGGATGTACTCAGTTGATTGAATGCTTGCCTAGCATGCATGAAGACTTGGACTGCATCCCAAGCACAGGCACAGTATAAAACAGGGCATGTTTTCACTTCCCTGTAGTACTAGCTAACATTCTAGAGGTAGAAGCAGGAGGATCATAAATTCAAGGTCATCCTCAGCTATAGAAGTTCAAAGCCAACCTGAGCTATCCTCAGCTATATGAGAAGTGCAAAGCCAACCTGGGCTACATCAGACCCTGCCCAAAATCAAACAACAGCAGCAACAAAAACAAAGAAAGACTGCAATTAAGTCTCCTCTAACACAAGGGCTGGAACTGCACTTGGTAGCAGATGCTAGGCCCTGGGCTTGGTCCTCAGAACCAACAAATGGCAAAACCAAACATGTTAAGAGATCCTTGAATGCAAACCTGTTTGTTGTTAAGAAACCAATTTCTTAGCTCTGAAAAAGTAAAATTCGTTTAGAAGAGTGAAGCAGTTACATTTTAACATATTTATCTTTAACAACTTTTAAAAAATTATAATGATCAGTGCTGTCTTTTTAATTATAGAAAATTTAATAAGTATAGCTATAAAAGTCAGGGTGATTATTAATGGGCATTTCAAGTCAGTGCTGTGTGATTTGGCTTTTGAATCTAAGCAGTGTTAATTATGAGTATAATTCATTATTTTATGAACTTTGTTTATGGAGACTCTTTAGGGGTTTATCATAATCTTCAAACAATCTTTAAGGGAAATACATCTCTGTTCTTGAGGCAAATTACAAATCAGATCTTCGTGTTATTAGAGGTATACAACAGTGGAAACTAGACTGCATGACTACCACTCTCTAAGGTGATAGAATATTCATTTAACAAAAATAACTTTGCATTTCTGTATTTTCTGCTTTAGAAACTTAAAGGCTGATTTTTGGGGTCTGTGTTTCAGAGACAAGTCAGGAAACTGTTCATATTACTTATTTCTAAGGACATATTTTCACTGCATTATATCAACTTTAAATTGCATTCATATATTTGGCATGACTAATTTTTTTGTCTTTATGATGCTTGTGTTCTTACCACTGATGCATGTATTTATAGTGCCTGGGCCTGTGCCAGTCAAATCCCTCCAAGGAACATCCTTTGAAAACAAGATCTTCCTGAACTGGAAAGAGCCTTTGGAGCCAAATGGAATCATCACTCAGTATGAGGTACGGGAAGAAGGATGTTATTTGAAACATAGATGAAAAGAATGAGGTAGCCAAGAAGAAAAGGTGAGGGGGAAGTAATGGAAGAGGATAGAATAGTAATAAGATGAAAATATCATAGGCACTCCTTTATTTTCATTCACAATTTCTTCTATTTAAAATTGAACAAAAACCTCAAGCATCATAGAGTATTTAGAATTTTCAGATTCTTAGAGTGCAGACTTGTTTTTGCATCTGTGTTTGTGTTGGTGGATCTCGATTGTCCTTGTCAAATAGACTGACTTATGGTTATAATGAATAAGCCTGTAAAACACTTAATAATATCCCTGTTTCTGAAATTAAGGAACTTATATCACACTGTTTTAGGAGAGGCCATTAAATGGTAATGGTTTCAAAGTAACTATTCCCCACCTCCCCAAAAAGGAAAAATAGGTTGAAACCTGATTCTGAATTTTGTTAGACCTTTAAGTATAAATCACTGTTTTCAGCTATAAGAAACTAAAGAGAAGAAATAAAGCTACTTTGGTTGTACAGTTGTGTCCCTGTATACTCAGTTATGATTACAGCATAAACATTTCAATTTTTAGTGCCTATGGAATGAATCATAGGGCCAAGAATGATGGGTGCTTTTGACTATCTCTAAATATTAGTTTTGTAGAATTTGTTTTTTCTCCCCCTCCCCATTTTTCAGAGTTTCTCCTTGTAGCCTCAGCTCTCCTAGGATTTGTTATGTAGACCAGGCTAGCCTCCATCTCACAGAGACCTGTCGCCTCTGCTTTGAGCGCTAAGAGTAAAGGCATGTGCCATCATGCCTGATGTCTTTTACCATTTTTAAGAAGACGGTTTTGCTGAGTTACACAGCATGGCCTTGAAAACACTGTGTGACTTAATCTGGCCTTCAATTTGTGATTCTCCTAACTCAGTCTCCCAAGTAGCTGAGGTCACAGGCACCAGGCCTGTATAAAATTCGTTACATACCCTTTAGACAGAGATTTAAAAACTTTCTGTTGAAGACTTTCTATTTTAATGTACATTAAAGTATAAAAGCAGAAACTGTGCATGTACAATGCGTGTTTAAATAGAGCAATTTTTATTAGATTTTTTACAATGTACATGGGTGAGAGATTTTAACATACTTCTGACAGTCTTCACACTGTATTATTGGAATAGCTAAAATTCTTGTTTACAGAATAAAATGCATTCATTTTAGTAGTACTTTTAAAAATCTATAGCGCTACATAAATAGTCAAACAATATTAAAACCTAATTTAAAATTCAGATCTTCCAGTAAGGTAACAGCTCCTCATGGAAGCATACGTGGACACTGTCCATTTAAGGACTTATTTTGTATTGAAAACATGTTACACCTTGAAAGAGCATTCAAAAGACTTACATGAAGTAGACTATATACACATGAACTTATTAGTATGTCTTGTTAAAAATACCTGGGCCAGGCGTGGTGGTGCACACCTTTAATTCCAGCACTTGGGAGGCAGAGGCAGGCGGATCTTTGTGAGTTCGAAGCCAGCCTGGTCTACATAGTGAGCTCCAGGACAGCTGGGGCTACCAGGACACCCTGTCTCAAAAAAGAAAAAAAAGAAAAAAACGCCTTTTCTTAGCTGGGTGTGGTGGGACATGCCTTTAGTTTCAGCATTCAGGAGTCAGAGTCAGGTGGATCTTTATGAGATCAAAGCCAGCCTGGTCTCCATAGCGAGTTCCAGGTCAGCTAGGGCTACAAGGAGACCTGGTCTCTGATCTCTATATATATATATATATATATATATATATATTCACACACCCTTTCTTGTTCTCCTTTCTCTTAAGGGTTTTTGATTGAACATTTTAATACATATATATTTGTCAAGTTAGATGTACATCTCATACAATAGTAGATGGATGATAGATGATAGATTGAAAAACATGATAGATGGATTAATGGATGATGATAGATACATAGATACATGGAAGATGGATGGATGGATAGATAGATGAATGTTAGATAGATAGATAGATAGATAGATAGATAGATAGATAGATAGACAGATTTAGTCATAACAAACTAGAAAGAAAAGAAGTAGAAAAAAAAATGTAACATGAGGCCCTTACATACTACTAACTTATTCGGAAAGAAATAGCATACAGTTGTATTATGCCTTCATTTAATACATAATAAGAAATACATTTCCTAAAACAGGTGAGCTATAGCAGTATAAGATCATTCGACCCAGCAGTTCCAGTGGCCGGGCCTCCGCAGACTGTATCCAATTTGTGGAATAGTACACACCATGTTTTTATGCATCTGCACCCTGGAACCACCTACCAGTTTTTCATAAGAGCCAGCACTGTCAAAGGCTTTGGGCCAGCCACAGCCATTAATGTGACCACAAATATCTCAGGTAAGCAAATGATAAGATGCAAGTAAAACTGCCTATGCTCCTGGTTCATCACAGCATATCCTAGAGACTCTGTCATATACTATGTTACTAATGTGGCTTAATGAATCTTTCTTGCCACTATGCAGGGTTGAGGGCACTTTATAGTATTATTTTACTATTTGAATACAAATTATTATTGGCTATCTCTTCAAATCCACACACTTCTCAAATAGTCATTAAAAATGGCAATGTTTTAAAACGTTATAGTATGTCTTTACTAGAAATCTTGCCAGGGGCTGGAGAGATGGCTCAGCAGTTAAGAACACTGGCTGCTCTTGCAGAGGACCTGGGTTTGGTTCCCAGCACCCACATGGCATCTCACAATAGGCTGTAACTCCAGTTCCAGGGGATCTAACGTCTCTGGCCTCCTTGGGCATTGCACAACACAGGTGCACAATACATACATGCAGGCAAAACACTCATACATGTAAAGTAAAAGTAAACAAATAAAAGATTATATTAATCTCTCCAACTTTATTACAAAGGTTGATAGGCCTTTTATTATGCTTTTGAAGAGGTGATTTTATGGTTTCAGGTATGTACTATACATGGACTTTAACAGCAGTAGAGGCTTCTAGCTCTAATATTAGAATACCTCCTACTTTCTCTGTTTTCCATTTTCCTTAACATCCTAATAATTTTAAACAAATACAAACTTTTCTTTCTCACTCATAAAATGTCTCACATAAATGCATCAGATTTTTCAGAGTAGGAACATGCAGGAGTCTCTTAAGTTGGTCAGCAAATATAATTAGATTTCACTTTCTATTATAGTCACAATTTTATAATGTGCATTTGACTAGATTGCTTACAGATATTATTTCTCCTTCAGTCAAATCATCAGTTAAACTTGTTTCACTTCTTATAGGGTGGGTATTATTGTGAGGCACCCTAAGTCTATTGTAATTAATAAAGTATTTCATCTTATTTAAAATTACTAATATATATATTATGTGTAACTTAGTTAAGTTTGAAAAAGTGTTTTGAAAATCAGCCACATACTAAATACCAGTTTGACTTTGTGAATTTCTTTAGTTCATTTTCATAATAGCTATACATAATATGCACTAGTAGCCCACCACAATACACATTATAAATTTTTAAGATTGTTCTGAAATCTACACAGTTGAATCAAGATGAAAACACACACTATCTAAATTGCTTTAAGTCGAAAATTTTATTTGGAAATATCTTGAGTATAATATAAATTTTAAAAATTGACATTATCAATAAAAGTTATCCAATATCTTGTCTTGCATACAATTTTATTTATAATAATATTCTAGTAAAATTAACATTTTAAGATATCCATTAGATTAGGAAATAATAATATATTAAGCTGCCACTTCATTTCCTGCTGGAAAATTTCTAAAATGTTGAATCACTTTATTTGAATATAAGACTTGGTGATGTTATGGCAAGTTTCCTACCGTCTATAATTAACAACAGCTGTATAATTGAGTAAACTACTTCTATAGAGATAGCTGTAAATTTTATATAAGCTTAAAAACAGCTTTATGCAGCTATACCTTCCTGAGAGCTAATTAGCAATAGATGTAAATTTCTTAAAGTTCAGATATTTTATCTTGAACAGGAAATTTATAATTGTAGACCAAAACACCAATCTGTTGTTCTCTGAATTATTTAACTCTGATCTTACTTGTTGCAACCTAAAAGTGAGTACTCAATTTTACTTTAGAAACGTGGTTGCCCTTACTATAAGATTGAGAGCAACTAGCAACTACATAAAATTTTAAGATGATTTGTAGTTATCAATCCCTTGAGTTTAGTAATTATATTTCTCAATGTTTTAAAAATGAAGTGTGGTACTATATCTGTGAATACCACTGTTTTTCCAAATTAGCTGTCTTATTCCCACATTCATATGTTAGTTCTACTTTTAGTTCTATTTCAGAGAATATACATTTTTTATGTTTATAGCACATCTTACAAAACTTTGCTTATCATTTGTATTTACTAAATAATGACAGAGTGAAATTCTTCCAAAAATTTGTCACTTGGCCTTTGCTGTCAAGTTTGGCTGATAATGCTCATGTTTCAATGAGTACCCTTCCCTTTAATATCTTTTGGTATGGAAAAGTTCAAGATTAGGAAACCTCTAAGCCTCAATTAAACAGTATCAAATATTTTTTTAAATTTCTACTTTTTTCTTTTCAAGAATGTAACAATTGATACACTAGTTCTTGCTTACTGAAAACTAAGAATTCCTTTCTGGTTCACCATAGTTAATTGACATGTTTCCATTGTGATCTTAGAACAAATGCTTCAGAGAAGAATCCTGGGCCTTTCTGTAACCTTTCAAGCACAAATGGCCCTGGGCAGTGGTAGTGTGTGTCTCCTTTCTGCCACACTCCAGGCTGCCATATGTGACTCCTCCTCAATGTCCAGTCTCCACTTTCCTCTCTCTTTCTTGTTGACTTCAATATCACAGAAAGCTGAAAATAAAAACAACTTAGTAAAGTATTTGGAATATCTCAGTAGACTGCTTTTAAAATTAAACAGTTTTGCCTTCATAAGCTTTTTCTGCTGAAGTCAAGGTTCAGTGCCATGCTATAAAATAAAGTTCACTATAGTTAATTAGGAATTATACTGATTTTTCCCTTGTTAGGATCATTTATTCATAGCAACCTATGATATATTGCTATGAATCAATCGAACTTTCGTTTCGTTTGATTTGTTTGCAGCACCGACTCTACCTGACTATGAAGGAATTGATGCCTCTCTGAATGAAACTGCAACCACAATCACAGTATTATTGAGACCAGCCCAAGCCAAAGGTGCACCTATCAGGTAAGAGAGGAAATAACAGTTTAAAGTAAAATCAGCCAGTGGAGAAATGTTTTCCCATGGTTGCTTAGCAACAAAGAAAGTGGTTCATTCCTAAGAGTCATTCATTTGGCAATTAATGTCAGGAATGTTTTCATTTTGTTGTGTTTCCTGGTTGTTTGTTCATTTTTCTTTTGTACAAAGTCTACAAATAAGCCTATAGTTAAGATAAAATTCTAAGGGATTTTTTGAGATATTCGTCTACTGACCCATTCACCCTTGTGATATTTAAAATTGTTGCTCCTTTTTTTTTTTTTCGTTTATTCCCATTTCACTTCATGTTCTCTGTTGTTGTCTATGTCAGAAAAGCTTTGAAGGTATTGCCAGAAACAGAATGAAGAAATAACTCGTGTGTACCACAGTGCCTCACTTATGAATAATTTCACATGAATGACTGAAACAAGAGGAAATAAAAGCAGAATAGTTACAAAAAGCAAAGCTTCAGTGACCTTTCTAATCTTGGATTTCTCCTTAGCAGAAATTCCACAATAAATATTAAAGTTCAGCTTAATATTTCCTTTATCTTTCTATATTGAAATCTCTCACATTACCTAATTCTTCTAATCTTTCAGAAAATTCTGAGCCATATCATTTTGGGAGATTAGGTCAAATTACTTCAGGCTTTTAAATTTTGCACAGCTATAATTAGATGAACTTTTAAAACTAAAGCAAACTTCTACTTGATATGTAGTATGTGGATATGAGTTATGTGTTTATGATATGCAGATATATGGTAGATATGTGGGAATTTTTTTAATCCAACGTCTATAATAAAATGAAGGCACCAAATTCAGTGCAGATACTCCAGAATTGAGTCATCTAGTGCTGTTTATATATTTTTCTTTAAAAAATTAATCTTTGTTCTCTGTATAAAATGAATACACTTGACCTGATGGAAACTGAGGTCTAATGTCACTAGAGTTCTACAAACACTTTTTCTTAATTAAAAATACGTTGATTAAAGAAGGTGAGTCTTAAAGAAAAGCCTTAATTCCCATCTGGCTAAAACTCAGGGGACTACGACCACATTATGGAAAAAGAGAGATGGTTAAGTGTGCTTGTAACATAAATACTTACAAAGCACCAGCTACTTGAAAATTCAAAGTCAGTGTATAGTGCTACTCCTGAATCAGTGATCTGTGAGTGAATTTGATTGCTAATGTGAAGGAGAAAAAGAAAATGCCACACTCCACATCTTTCTCTATTGACAAGTAATCACGGTCATTCACATGTTCTTACCTGTGAGGAAGTACTTAGTAGATGTTCAGTCTGCCAATGCTGTGTAAATAAGCTGTGGGATTGTAAGATAAGTACTCGGATTTATCTTTTAAAAGTTAGTTGAGTGAATTCAGCCTTACTTTATGTAAACTGCATACATAGTGTGTTATTTTCATATCCCTATGCAAATAGCTTATATGATTAACTCTTCGTTCACTTAAATTTTTTCTCATAAACTTTTATCATGTATTAGGTTGGCATTGTAAACCAAAGACAAAATGACCACAAGGAACCACAGTGTCTTTTGTTTTTCCAAATTTGTCAGGGTACCAGAGGTATCTAAACTTGTAGATTCCATGCTTTCAGGTGCTGTTCAGGACTTCTGTAATTTTTCTACATTTTTAGATGAAAAGTCTTTCTTCTCCCTTGTTTACCCTTCTGTATCACATGATTTCTAACCACCAAGAACTCATATAGTCTAGTGATTGTACAAAAATAATCCTTAATAGTCATTTATCTTTCTGACTTGATTTATTCTTCTTTGTATCTGTTCGCAAGACATTTGACCATTTCTGAATTTGAGCCCAGTGACTGAACCCCAAATTATACAGTGTAGGAGACTAGTGCTCAGAAAATAAGCTAAGGGGCTGGAGAGGTGGCTCAGTGGGTAAGAGTGCCTGGTGTCAAGCAAGAGACCCTGATTTTGAGTTATCAGCAACTCACGTGAAAAGTGGTATGGCCACATGGGTGATGGAGAATTATGGATTCCTGGAGCTTATTGGCCAGCCAGTCTGATGGAAATGATGAGCTTTGGGTTCAGTGAGAAATTTGGTCTCAAAAATAAGATGGAAAGCAACAGAGAGTGACACTAGATGCCCTCCTGAGAGCCACATGGTACACAGCAATGCATACCTGCACACATTTGTGTTCAAAAACTGCATGTACACTCAAAATATGCTTGTATACTAGAGTACTAGAACATGAAATAATAATAATGTAAATATGGCACTTTCTAAATGAATGTTGTTAAAAGGAAAACACTGATTTTTTCTAACATTCTCATATTTCTTTGCACAGCTGACCTGCAGGTAGAGCAAGATGGCAATACTAAGCTTTTGTAGACAGACAATTTGGCCTTTGTTGAGGTTTTTGGACTCTGCCTCTTTTACTTTTGGAAACTTCCAGTAGGTAGTGCTACCTCCTTGTCCTTGGACCACCTTCCTGCCTTCAATCAACCAAATAATAACTGGGGTCTTATCATGTGGTGATCTAGTCCAGTGTCCTAATTGTTTTTAAAGTGAAAGCCCCCAATCTATGGATCCTGCCCTGCCTTTCAGCTTTTCTTAAAACTTTTAACTGTCCACTGTTTCTTTATTCTAAGTCACTCTGGCAGAGTCTCTCTTCTGGGAGATTTTGCTGTCATTTACTTTGTCTGTGGCCCTAAAATTCCAAATGTCTTTGCATCCAGTTAACCATATAACATCCCACTGTCCTCTGATGTTGACCCTAAATATTGGGTTCCACCTTCCCCTTTTACATCTGTAGCCCCTGTTGGCCTGCATTTCACCATCCATTTGTCCCAACTACAGTAGAAATGGATGTTCTTCTACACTGGATCATCTTAATGTGAAATATGCTCCCTTTTCTAAACTCTCTTGTAGTAACTGAGAAATCCTTCTTATACAGAGCTTGTATATTGATTTTAGCTTAGTTTTATTAAGATAACTAAAACTAACACTAGTTTCTATATATTTGTAGATTCCATAGCAATCCATATATGCTGTGTGTATTTGGAATAGAAATTCACCTAAGGCGATCCAGAATGTGGGGTGACAGACTCAGTGACTGATTATGAAGCCATAACAGCTGAAAGAGAATGTGGGACAAGAGCTGGATTTTTAAGGAATGGGAGAAATGAGGTTGGCCAAGGTTTGTTTTACGTAAAGCTGGAGACTTTGGAGAAGAGAAGGGACTATGGGCTTTCCAAGAGATCGCAAAGCAGATTCTGGGACATATGATATAGCATGGTATGTTCTAGCACAGCAAGTAGTTCAGGTCATTGAGGTTGTCTGTTGGTGAACTGTTAGACCCGGAAGCTGGAGAGGTAGTGAGGTCCAGAGAGAGAGGAAATGTTAATTGCCAGCTTGAAAACTGAAGGTGACCACAGGACTGAAGCAGCAACTGCCATGGATAATATTGCAGTTTAGAGAGATTACACATGGAAAGTAGACTGAGGCTAATTCAGACTGAGGTAACCTGGTCCCAGTGAGCAGTCCTCACGGGTCATATCAACACAGTAGCAATGGAAGTAAAGGCACAGTTACATGCCTTATACAGATCAGATGCATAAAGCTAAGAGGGAAGAGAGATATAGCACCTTTGGGAGTGAGAGACCACCAAGAGAAAAATCAACTATGACTTCAAAGTCTGGTCTTCAACATGATCGAGCAAGAGTTAATAGTTTCACTATCAGTACCCCAAATCAAAAATGTATGTTTTGGGGCTGGAGAGAGATGGCTCAGCAATTAAGGGCACTGGCTGCTCTTCCAGAGGAGCTGAGTTTGTTTCTTGCGTCCACATGGCTTCTGACAACTGTTCCCAACACCAGTTCCAGGAGATCCAGTGCCCTCTTCTGTTCTCTATGGGCATTGAATCAACATGGTGCACTTACATACATGCAGGCAAAACACTCATACACATAAAATAAAAATAAATAATAAATAAATAAAAATTTTAGATGCATGTTTTTTTCCAAAAATTGTGGTTACTTTGTGTCTTTTGTCTGCCTTACCAACATTTACAACAAGAGATCATGATGTGTGCAGAAGCAGTAAGAAGCACCTCAGTAAAGACTCATTCTAAACTGTCAAGTGCTCAGCAGCACCAACCCTTCTGCCTTCTGTTTTACCCACCAAGCCTGCCTAGGGCCGTGCAGTATGTGCAGTTCAGTCCTGACATGTGTGGTTCTTCAACAGCTTTTAAAAATTTCATCATTCTGAAGATGGAAAGTTGATGCCCGACTTACCTAGAGCTTTGAATCTCACCACCTTTGTGTGATCTATCCTTATAACAGTCGCTTGACAGTTACCACCATGACTCTTCGTGACTATACCTCACAATTAGGGTAAATGTCACCATGACTCATCATGACTGTATCTCACAATTAGGGTAAATGTTATAGAACACACAATTTCTCTTAATCCTTTTTCTAATCAACAGAATATTTATAAGCATGCAGATTTCTTTTGTCCTGAGGCTTAGTTTATAACAAGGTGTCATATATGAATGTATATTTCATTTCAGAATTTTCCAAATACAAACTCTATATTTTAGGCTCACAAAAAAGCTATCCATTCTAGTGTTATTTTATTTTGTGGGTATAATCTAATTTTGCACCTAAGTAGCATATATTTTAGTAAGGAAATTAGGGTATAGTCACAATATAGTTAAAACCAGCATTCATCTTAAATTTAAAAAAGGAATTGCCTAATATTTCAAGTCCAGTGAGAATATAACATAATTACAGATCAAAATATAGAAGTAATTCAGCCTGACCTTGTATGTCAGTGGTCTTTGGCTTACTCAGTCCCACACAGAGTTTCAGTTGTAGTGCCACCAGATCGTCTGCCTGCAGAATAGTGTGCTTCGCCCCACAAGTTTGAAGAGGGCAAATAACTCTACCTGGTTGCCCTATTCACTATCTTACACAAAAGCCTTACTGAAATCCAAATAACAATGCCTTAAAA